TTAAAGTGTGGAAACGCTGAATGTGAAGATGCGAATTTCGAATGGCAGGGAATATCTTCACCATCTGATTCATTGTCAGCTGCTATAGGAAGTCATACAGCAAGGCCAGTTGTGGGCGAAAAAGGCCACAGCGATGTTCAAACACTGTTAACCTTTTAAAGACCAGTGGTTACTATACGTACCATTTGCCGTAAAAATTCCTCCGTGGCCTGTAGCCCGCAAGCGAACTATACCGACCGAGCTACCGCAGCTTGTCGGCGAATTTAGTTCCAACTTTTCCGGATAGAGGGTGTCACGTGGTCAGCGCAACAGATCCCCACGGCCGTTAATCTCTGTTTTCTAGACCACAGCCGCTATTTACTTCAAATAGCTCATCGATTATCCTCACGAGGCTGAATGGACTCCGTTCCAGACCCACATCTCAGAAAATCTGGTATCGGCGGGAATCGAACCCAGGACCTCTGGATCTGCAGCCGGGGGGCTCTGACCACTAGACCACAGAGGCGGTCACCACCATTTCCTGTAACACACTCAAACTCTCCATTCTAACCACAGGGCGTATTTGTGTGTTTCGTATGATCCTCACAATAAACAGCGACTGTTTTCCTATACAACATTAACCGGTTGGGCTTTGTATGGAGATGGAATGTGCTTCCTGTGAGATACGAACCGAGTTCTTACACATCACACAGAAGAAGAGTTATGAAGGCTCTCAGAATCGTCAGACAGTAAAATATGGTCATGAGTCCCGTGAGACTCGGGACCAAAAATAAATGTGCTGGCGAGGACCAGAAGCAATTTGGCGGTTGGCCAGTCATTGAAGGTTAATAATATGCCATTTACCTTTCAGTCTCTCACACACAGTACGGCAAAGTGTACTAATAAAATAATCAGAAACAATACAAAATGCGTGGATTTCCTCCCTCGGTACACTTACCGCATGTCTCGCATTTGCCGGTGCATTCTGTGGTTCAACTCGAGTGTCACAGTACTGACACACATACTCGTATTAAAAAGAAGTGCTGCTTTGTTGCAAAAGCAAATTAGGAAATTTCTTTGTGTAATCACACTGTGAATTTCTGCCATACTAGGACCACCTTCCTTACAACCTGTTTCTAACCCAACTTCGGTCCTGAAGATGGAGACGGCAATTTTCCCCGAACGTTGGTATATGTATAAAGGACTAGATGGAGTCAAAACCTAGAAGACCAGAATCTAAACAATAACTGCCATGAAGATCATAAAACTAATATTTAATCTCCTTGGGCCCTAATATTGCTTAAATGCCCGGAAAATACTAGTGTTTAGGATACTGCGTTCGAATTAATTTTATTATGTTATTGTCTCCTGATTGTCTTCTTGTATGTCTAACATATGTAGCATAATAACATTGATCCTTCCAGCCGCACTATGGCCCTGAGGTCCACTCAGCCTCTAACAGAAATGAGTACCAGGAATCTTCCTGGGGACAAAGGGTTGTCATCGCGTAAGGCTGACAGCCTCATTGCTATCTGTGAGCCGACTGTCTAGCAAATATGGGAGCCCTGAAGTCTCACAACCCTATGGGTCTCAACGGTCTGTTACAGGAATAGCTTTACTTTTTTATTTTAATTAATCCACACACAATATCATGAACATTATTTGGTGTTGTGTGGGTATACCATGAAGAATAGTCGGAATTATATAAGGAAGAGATCATACGGAAAACCTAGGAACAGATGAAAATATACTATTATAATTCATATTAAAGACGTATAATGTGATTGTGTGTGTCCTAAAGGCCGTTTCCTACACACAGGACAGCACACACAACGCACACAGACAACCATGCCTCGAGTGGGATTCGAAAACACGACTCCAGTGTTTAAGTGGGCGAAGACAGTTGATGCCCAAGACCGTGCGGCCACTCTGATCGGCATCAAATGTCTAATCATGGACAATAATGGATAGTTAAGATTTAATTACGTGGGAATATTTTCGTCTGACTCTCGTCCTGCGGATGCTTCGACTTATTCCGTCCGGTAAATCAATCCTCGTCCATAGGGTAGATAACATCAGTACAAATATGACCAACCAACACCTCCATGGAGCTGGGCCCTTCTTGAGAAGCCACCAGTCGCTCAGCTACTCATGAATTCCCAAACATTTTACTGAACTCGAAGGTTAATTACCGTGTTCACGAGAGCCCTCCACCAGCCCTTATCCCGAACAAGATGAATCCAGTCTATATCAGCCCACACTATTTCTCTATGATTCGTTTTATTGTTAACCCCCCAACTACGTCTATGTCTTCCCAGTGCTCCCTTTCCTCCTCGCTTTCCCATAGAAACCCTATATTCATTCCTCGCCCGTGTGTGCTAAATGCCCTGCTCATCTCATCCTCCTTGACTTGATCATTCTAATTATATTTCGCGAAGAGTACAAGTTACGAAGCTTCTCATTATGAAATTTTATCCGGCCTCCTATTCTTTCATCTCTCTTCAGTCCAAATATTCTCCTCTGTTCTCAAACACCCTCAGTCATGTTCCTCCCTTAATGTCAGAGACCAAGTTCATGACTGATAAAACATGTTCTGAATTTTAAATTTGCACGTATAAAAGGACGTGTACGTGTGTTTCCATTCCCTGTAGGGCAGCCCATATAACACAAAGGAGCCTGTAAATCATATGTGCAAGCTCAAGCATGTGCATTCACCGAACTTAATGAAATGGAGGTGAACTCTCCGTACAAGGGTAAACTGATGCGTGGGCCGCTTGTACACGTACATTCCACGTGACCTTCACAGCACCAACAATACATAGTATGTACGGTCTGCTGTGTGAAAACACGAATGAAATGTTAAAGCTGAGGTTCTCCTGGTGGCAGTTACGGACAGTATTATCTTCTGCGATAAGACGCCGTTTATTCTGTCAGAACATCAATGTTACGCATAAACGTAGTGCCTCCATCATCAGGAGCGAGTAATGGCATTCTGCTTGCTTCCACTGGACCATATCTTGGGCTCCCTCATGGAGCTAAGTCCGTCTTGAGAAGCTGCCAACTGTGAATCTACTGAACTTCTCACCATTATATGGAACCCGAAGGTTCATTTCCGGGTTCACAACAGCTCTCCACATGTCCCTATCCTGAGCCAGATCAATCCAATCTATATCATCCCACCCTATCTCTCTAAGATGCATATCAATACTGTCCACCCACCTACGTCTTGGTCTTCCCAGCAGGCTCCTTCCTTCCGGCTTTCCCACCAATATCCTATATACATTCTCTTCTCCCCATTTGTGCTACATGCCATGCCTATCTCATCCTCCTGTCACTTCATCGCTCCTCAGTCCAGATATTGTCAACACCCTCAGTCTATGTTCCTCGCTTAATGTCAGAGACCAAGTTACATACCCATACAGAACCACAGGCAAAATTATATTTTGTATGTTCTAATTTCTATGTTTTAGACAGCAGACGAAAAGACAAAAGGTTCTGGACTGAATGGTAGCAAGCATTAGAATTCAATCTCCTCTTAATTTCTTCCTGAATCATGTTTTGATTTGTTATAGACGTTCCCAAATATCTAAACTGTGCCACATTTTCAAAATATCTGTTATCTATCTTCAAGTCATGATTTTTTTAATTTCCTTATTTGGAAAAAAAAAAACAAGAGGAGGTTTATGAGATCACCTTGCTGTCTGTATACAAGTATCTCCCATAGTTCTTTTCGTTTTCTATGAGTCCATGTCGTAGCAAAGGAAAACAGGCAATTAGCTCTTCTGGTAAATTCTATTTAACGCTGTCTTTATGTACGGATGTGTCCTTCGCAAGCTCCTAAACAGATGCACGGAGTCCTTTCACATTCGGCATTTAACGGTCTCTCAATCATGGGCTGGTGTCCGGTTAATATCAGTATTCTAGCTCCAAAATTGGGGGCATTCAGTTGGGCACCAAAACAATGAAATGGAGATTTAGTCGAAAACGGATCTAACAATTTTTATCACATCTCAGTAATGTGATGCCATGCCGTCCAGTTATTTACCAGCGTTTCGGATGACGTATTACCTCCATCTTCAGGGTAGTTCTCTTTGCTGAATGCTACTATGGTGCTTATTCTTATTCCTCGGAAAACTTAGTGAGCGCCTACCGGACACACGGTGTCACATTGCAAAAGATAGTACTCTTAGTTGTTACAGCTGTGAGAGCCCTTACTGCAAGAATCATTAGCATAGTCTGGTTTACTATCTTCACATTGTTCGATACAAATGGGAAGTATCTTTACATCATAGTAACAGTAAAAACCCATAGGGTTGTGAGATGTTGAGATTCCCACATTCTCTAGACAATCGGCTCATAGATGGCGGTAAGGTTGTCAGCCTTAGGCGCCGGCCGCCCTTTACCTCCAAGAACATTTCAAGAATATTCCCTGTACTCATTTCTGTTAGCGGCTGAGTCGACCCCAGGGCCATAGTGCGGCTGGAAGGATTAGGTCAATTGAAAAAAATCCAATGACCTCATCGGGATTCGATCCCGCTACCTTCCGGCTTGTAGCATAGTGCCTCAACCAACTACGATAGTTATCCTCAATAATGTCATATTTCAGCATCCTGTTGCACTGTATAGATCTGACAAATGAACTTTTGTGCCGCCTATGTGCAACGCCGTTCCCTATTCTTTCTTCATATTCCCTTATTGGACCCTACATGGATCGGCCTAACTGGCCATCTTCAGGTGTACAGATTATTATGGGTAAGGATTCTGATGGTTACAGTAATGGGGGCGGTTTCTTTCCTCCTACTGTAGTTGCCGCTGGTTATTTTGGTTATATGCGTTACCATCAGTTTTATTTGGGTGTCCTTGAGGTGGTGAACGACGTTGCACATAGACGTCACAAAAGCGCGGAAGCCAGATTTATCCTCAAAGCTTGTCTCAAAGAAAGAAAATGAAAGTTAGAACACGAGACAAGCTAAAAAAAAAGTGATATAGAATGAAGTGCTTATGAAAACAAGATGACGTACCTTTCACTTGGAGCAGAACTAACGGAGCGCACAGGGACTTCTGTCCGCTAGCGGGAGTTGCTTTCAACAGCCTGCAACAAAAATGTAAATTATTGTATAGGCTCAGTAGCGGGGTGCATTTACAAAACAACACAGCAAATATACGGACAAGCAGCACACAAAGTCCTCAAGTTTGTGTGACGATGGACTATTAATACAATTATTCTGTTTCTGGACATTATCCATCGCCCTGTTTTAATTTAAAACATATAGGTCCGAAGACTAGTTCTAATGATTGGGCTCAACTGAGTAGGTTCCACCTGAAGACAGGAGACAGAATCCAGTCTTCGAAACGTTGTGTGTTCTAAATAAAAAGAAAACGATGGATAACAATAATTGCAGTACACAGGCCGTCCGCATTCCCAGTGCCACCTACCGGTAATTTTAAGGTACAGGAACAATACATTAGCATTTCAAAACGTTCAGGTAACGGTAAAGTTGTTCCTGTGCTTAACTAATTAAGCACTATGCCATGAAGACTTATGGGGGAGTGGATGCACAGATCCAAGTTTTCTTCACCTCGGCACTAGTAAGAGGTGAGTGGTCAGCTTTACGCCCTGGCCGCTTTAACCCCGAGGAAAGAGCCCCCCCCCCAGTACCCATTGAATAGGAGGCTGGGCTGACAACAGAGACAGTCTGAACGAAGTGGAGAAGAGAAATTTCTTGACCTTAACGGTACTCGAACTCCGACTAACCGGCAGTCCTGTCCGTAGCCATTCGCTATACCGACTACAATATCCCAGTTAATTTTTTGTCCAAAGTACAAAAATATGTTTTCACATATAAGTCTTGGTCTACCAAGTGTCCTCTTTACTTACGACTTCCCGACCAAAACTTCGTACGCATTAACATTTCTTCCCCGTGTGCTACATGTCCTAAACAAATACAGGTAACATGAAGGTAAAACACCCCCTGGACGCTTGACAGAATCCTTCACCCTCCGGCCACTTCACCACTGGGCAAACAGCCCCATGTATTCTTTGGTAAGGAGACAGTCTACACGTGATGAGCTTCGAACCAAACCGGCTAGTCAGCCCATACTCGGTCGCTTTAACTCAACTACCCGCCTCATTTCAGAACAGACGCTGATACCACGCTTTGTTCATTACACATCACGCCGTGAAGACGTCGGTATACGGTGGTGCGTTGTCAGGTTCCCATCTCGGCCGCTTTACCCCCGGTACCCACTGTACAGCAGACAGGACACGACTGGTTCCCCACACAATCAGAATAAACGCACATAGACATCCATGATCCATTCCTTGAGTAGGATTCGAAACCTTGATCCCAGGATTCGAGCGAGGGAATATAGTTCACGCCTTAGACCGCGAGGTCACTGTGAGCGGCAGACAGTTGAAAAAGAGACATTAAGCAAGCGAAGGATCGAGTTCCCACTGGCGCTTTGATAAAAATACTGAGTTGGGGAACCTAGCTGCGATATTATTGACTTTCTAAAAGAAATGATGAGACAGAAAGGTTATCAATAGGGTAAGGACACGGAGTTCCTTCGGAATCCTAAACGCACCCGCCAGCGCTTTCCGTATGGTACGTGTGTCAAGCTAAAATGTCGTCAAAGCCTGCTCGAACTAGGCGAGTGGGTGACAGAGGCGTCTGATGCACGTGACTTAGACAATCTACTCAAACGGCCTTCTCGACGTTTCGTTAATTGACTGCTTTTGTTCCAAGTAATTAACAGGGAAGTAATGAGTGGGTAGCTCCATGTTATCTATCTCTTGTGGCCTGACGTATCCTGAAAAACTCGTTTATCGCCAGGGCATTTCACATCTCACAGTTAATATGAAAGGTCAGGTCGGCGCAGACACAACTCACAGCAATCCTCATGTATTCCTTTCTTTCTAATCAGCCTCCTCCTTTGCCTCCTCTCCTTTTGCACCTCTTCCCTATATCCTACTCTTCTTCACCTTCTCTCCCTTCTTTCTCTCCTATCCTCCTTCGTCACCACAACCTCCGTCTTCTGCTGATACTCTTCCTTCCTCGTCTTATCCTTCGTCCTTTCCCATTCTTCGCAGTCTCCTTTTCATCTTCCTCTCCTCTTCCGTCATCTTCTCGTCCCGCTTACTATCCTCCTTCGCCTTCTTTCTCCTCTCTTCCTTCTTCGTTATCTCTTACTTTCCTTCCTTCATCCACTCCTATCCTCTTTCGCCTTCTTTTTTTTTGTCTCTTCCTATCCCCCTTCGTCTTATCCTCTTCCCTCTTTCCGCCCTCTACTATTCTCGTTTGGCTTCAACTCTTCTTTCTTTCTCTTTTCCTATTTCTCCTCCACTCTGTACTGCGCTCTGCTCTGTATTACCTAGCAATCTTTCGAACTCTGCTGCAGGATGTTGGCCATTTTGTTTTTCGCATTTGCAAAGGTCTGCATTTTCTACCCAAATAATTAATTCAATTAGAATTCCTTCATGTTTCACACGCTGTAATGCAGTGCTTTACTCAACACTATTTCAAAAATGTAATTACTTTTGCTACAATTTCGCCAACATTTCAATTTAAATTCCATTTACATATAAAAACGAAGAATTCAATTACACGTACTTTACAGGAAAAAATTAAATTATTTCTGGTTCTTCTCTTTAATATCATGTTTATCTGTCCACAGATTTCTAGAGAGTGATATTCATTACTGAGCCAACGTTACCGTCATAAGACTTGCCGTGGGAATAAAAGGAAGGTCGAAAAAAATAAATGAAATAATGGACAGAAAAAACAAAGAATTTTCATCTTCCTCTGTATCTTTCTTTATATTTACTTTCCTTCCATCTTCATCTCATTCTCTGTTTCTCCCACACAATGCGTGCCTCGCCAGAACACATCGTGTGTTAATGACTCAAGAAAATTCCGCCTCGAGTCAACCAGACCAATCAGCAGCTGAGTCAGCGCTCCGGCTACGAGGACCGCTCCTGGGAGCAAGACAGCTGTGAGCAACACGTACGTACACAGGGATAGATCACTTTCGGTCCATTCCATTTCTCGTAGAATTAATTGTTATGGCCTTCGGGGAAAGCAACTGTTTGTTCTGTGCATCTTCCAGTGTGCCCATATATAGTCAGGCTGTGCTGTTTTCAAAAGGTCATGGCTTCATGTCACCGCTACATCTCTTAAGGCATCTTTTCAAGTCCTTGCGAATTTCTTTTTTGCATCAAACGAACGGTTTTGTCTGCCTGAAAATTTCATTTCCGAAACTACTGAACGAGGTACGAATAATGTTCATATTTGTTGACCTACATTAAAAGCTATACAACAAATATATTTTTAATTGACCTCAGATCGAACTGTATTTTTTTTTAGACTACTGTCCTCCGCGATGTGCGGGATATGACTTTATCTAGCGTGGTATAACTTCACGGAAGAACCTTCTGCCGATCCCTAAAGACAGAAGCAATAGATTCATCCGAAACATTGATAACGCTCCATCAGATGACTTGCCGACACATTCCAGAACATAGCAAACTACACAGCCACAGAAGTGAAAACGTAAGGCTCGCATTGTTCACAAACAGCTGGTCGCACCGTAACGTAAAGTACACGCTTCAGTATTACAATTTTTAGATTGCCCTCTGTTCTATGATGAATACCGTATTTACGCATGTATAGGCCGCACATTTTTTGCCAAAAATTCAAGAGGAAAACTGGGGTGCGGCTTATATTCGAAATCACACTTCATTTAAAAAAATTATATTCATAATTAGTACTACAGGGTGTAATACTCCTGAAATAATATTCCAAGAAAATTATTTTTCTATAATTTCTGTCTGAAAATTGTGCTGCGGCCTATACATGCGTAAATACGGTATTTAACGAAATAAAACAGTTTGAGACTACGACCAGCGTGACATCTTTGTATCTGCAATGTAACGGTTCTACCTGCAGGCATTCATTTGTTTCTTCTATCATTAAAGAAAATGCATAGTTAAGTTATTACATTAAGTTATTACAGACGACAGGAGTTGTCTACAGTCTAGCTGCAATTGTCAGTACAACTGTCATGAGGCATCAATACTGGATTCAACAGAAATAATTCCACTGTTATTTCTCTTTCTGCCAATCAAAGATGCGAATGACGTCATTTACACGTAGTTATCTGTCATGTTATTACCTGCTTTCATTACACCACGTCATACCACGTGTGTCAACAGGCCTAAATGCACGGCTTCTGTCTCCTTTTCTTACTTCGGTTTATTTATTTCTTTTTTTAGGGGGGAGAAGTAACGTAGTTGGTTGAGGCACTATGCTACAAGCTGGAAGGTCGTGGGTTCGATTCCCGATGGGGTCATTGGACTTTTTCAATTTATCTAATCCTTTCGACCTCACTATGGCCCTTGGCTCGACTCAGTCTCTAACAAAAATGAGTATAAAGAATCTTCCTGGGGGGGGGGCAAAGGACGACCGGGCGTAACGCTCACAACCTCACCGACATCTGAGCCGATTTTCTAGAAAATGTGGGAGCCTCGACGTCTCACAACCCTACGGGCCTTCACAGCCTGTTACAGGGATAATTTTATCTTTTTATTTATTTGTTTATTTATTTATTTATTTATCTTCTCTCCACTTCCCCTGATTATTACTTAAGTTCGCGGGTTTCATCTAGTCTTCGTTTGAGTATTACACCTCAGCTTAAGATGATAACATCTGTTGTTGTGGGACATTTTCCAACGATCCTTAACCATCTGTTTTCTATCATCCGGAATTGTTTTCGATTTTAGACTTATGTGTATTGGCCCACGCTTCGAAAGCGTAGCAAATGGCTAACCTAATGCATGTCATGTAGAGTTGGCGCGCGATGAGAGGTGAATGGTTGCTGTGGAATCCGTGGAGGTGGCAAAAATTTATTTTATATAACATAAAATGATTTCTAATTCTGTGCTGCATGATAACCGCCCTGCAATAAATTAATATAACACAGCCAATGAGGATTATTATTTTCTGGGGTGCGACGCAGTGTAGTCTGGTAGATGTTTACGAACGCATCGGAGGACCGCATTATCTCCATCTTCAGGACAGAAAATTGAGATGTACT